CCTGGAAGTGATTCACACACGTGTCCAGTGACCTCAATGGGGTTACCTCCATTCTATCCTGAAGCACCCACCCATCACTCATGATTCTTATTACACTCCCACTGGTTCACAGTGATTGCTATGATTGATCATCCGGCAGCAAATTAGAGTCAGTTCAACTGAAGGGAGTCATTTCCTAGTGTTTATGAAATATTGTTGAATATTTTCCCCCATCTGCAGAATTACCACAGCTACTTGAAGAGGGTTGCTACTGAAGAAATTTCTTGTTACCAAAGTCCTTCGAAATGCCACATGGTTCAGCATATGGTTTGATTAAAAGAAATTACATTAATGAAGAGGAATTACCATGACTTTGCTGCTGGACCCTGAGGACCAGGAGGCCTTTCCATCCAACTTGCAGCTGAGGTCTCTCCTAGGGGACATCTCCCCCTACTGCTGGGTGAGCTCCTGGAGAGTAGGGGCCATCTCCCAGCTCCACTTAACTCTCCAGCTCTTAGTATAGTGTTTTCCTCACCACAAATGGGTAATCAGTATTTTTTAATTCACTAATTTAGTCATTCATCAAAAAGGCCCTATAAGAAAACAAGCTTTGGATGGGCCCTTATACACCAGGGAAAATCAAATTTTTTCTTCCCCATTGACTCTGTACATGTTATCTGGGAAGGTTGGGTTATGCAGAGTAGCCTCAGAATCCTTTATAAAGCATCTAGGCGGGGTCGCTAGGTTAAGCGGTGGGTAGAGCATCAACTCTGGAGTCTTTAGAACCTGAGCTCAGACCTGCCCTCAGCCATTTACTAGCTGTGTAGCTGTGCCACCCTGGGGAAATCACTTAACCCTGACTGACCGCTTCTCCCTCAAAATAAATAAATAAAAGCCCCTACTAAGGCCACACAATTCACAATGTAGAATTTGATATGTAAGTTAAAGGAAACTTCACTCCCATAGACCGTAATGTTACCCATCCTGCAGCAGCCTTTCCCTGGAGAGGCTCTGTTCATGCTCCTCTATGAGCCGCATCAAGAAAGCCCGTGCTACATGTGAGGGTGGTCTCACTAGATTCATACACACATACACACACAAATGTAAGTTTATATTGTATAGTCATGTTACATATTAAATATAGATATGTTTAAGCACTTGTGGCATATATATCATATATTTACATATGTATTTGGACATATATATTAGGTATATACAGACATATACATATATACTTATACACAGACGGTAGTATATACATATAGGTCCCATATTTATCTGTGTGTGTATCCCTAGAAGCTGTATATACCCGAAGGTCATCAAAGAGGTCATTCAGCCCAGTCCCTTTGAATGGAAACTGAGGCCCAGAAAGTCTAAGCCATGTTCTGAAGGTCCCCAGGTAAGATGCATCAGAATCAGGAGCTGCATCCCTGCCCCCTGACTGGCTAGTGGCCCATCCCTTGCCCCAGGCTGCCCCTCCCCCTGGGCTCCCATAGAAGGGATCCAGCCCCAGCTGAGCTTCTCTGACCTTTCCAGCTCTGAATGGACAGTAACTTCTGATACTTACTATCTGTGTCTGAGAGGAAGGGAAGACTGCTGTGCCTTGATGACTGTGCCTGCCTGAACCTTCAGCTGCTTTGCTTGTTTTCCTCAGGGAGGAGCCTCATAAACGTGCAGGGATACCAGCAGTCCTCACTGATGAACTGAAAAGAGGACATTGCAGGGGATGGGCCCAGGCTCAGCTCCTCTGGGTGGTATTGCTCTGGATCTCAGGTCAGAGACCAGGAAGGGGGAAAGAACCTCCGTCAGATGACAGGTCATATAAGAAACCACAGGACATTTGGCAGCTTTTGGACTGCATATGGGCAATGCTGTGAAGAAGAGTATTTAGCCCAATTAGAAGTTAGCCAAACAAAGATGTTTCCTCCTCCCAAGCGTGCAGTCAAAGAGAAAGCAGCCTGATCACATATCGACTGATGGACTGATTTTCCATATATTTGTCTTTCGTCTGTGATTTCAGTGAGATTTCTTTGATGCTTCTCAGTTCATGATAGGTTCCTGGGAAATGGAGAAAAATTACATTTGCCACAGGCTGGGTCTTTGGGAAGCTGGTAATTCCACGCCTTCAATTCTAATCTGGAATGTTGTGTTCAATTCTAGGTGCCCCAACTGAAAACAGTCATTGATAAACTAAAATGTCAGAGGGAAAGGCACACAGAGTCAGCACTCTATGCTGGCCTACTGTGAGCGATCCATGGTGAAGAAGCTTGAGTCCATTTCCTATGTGAATCAGCTGAAAGAACTGGGTACCTTTATCTGGAGAAAAAAGGATATTTTGTGGTGTGGGAGGAGGTCATGACAGCTCTCTGGAAGTAACTAAAAGGATCTCATGTGGAAGAAGGCTTGGGTTCATTCTGTTCAGTCCAGAGCAAAGAGCAAGGAACAATGGAAGGAAGCTACCAAGAGGCAGATTGTGTCTGATATCAGGACACCTCCCCCTCGGAAAAAAAGAAATTCCCTAATAGTTAGAGTCATCCCAGCATGGATGGAGGTACTGGGATCCCTTCT